GTTTACATCAAAACTGAAACCAAGCCGTTCACACAGAACGCATATTTCGTGCATTTTCTAGAGGGACATCTATCGCCGTTGCACTCGCATCTCGCACAAAAGAGCCGCATGTTTAGACATTTAATTTAATTAAAATTAATGCAATTTCAACTTTGAAAAAAAACATATATCGAGACTTTATGGCGGGGTTTTTTCATGTAGTTAATGCTGCTCAATGTGAAAGCCCACAGGTGATGGAGATTTACCGCTGATTACAGAACCGGCTTTACTGATAAGATGCGCGTTAAATATCGCATGCGATTTATCGTGCAGCCCTAGCTTTGAATAAACGTGCATTAGTAATATTTTGCTCGATGCGTTCTCTTGTGGCCTCAGAAGAGAAGCCAAAAGCTTTTCTTCACCCTAACTGAAATTATGCATTTTAAATTCGAATATAATTTGAATTTTGATCATTTTTAAGTACAAAATTCAAATTTAGTGTTTCAGCCATTTTGACAGCCCTAATGGACACCTATCAGTTGCTTATGTGGTGTCCTTTTGTAGTCTCCAAGTGTCCTTTTTTTGGAAAGACACCTAATATTACCTTGAAAAAAGCTTGCAGAAAATACAGTTTGTGAGAATCACCCTTCAATATGATGCTTTACTTTGCTGGATAAAGCAAATGATAACAAAATGAATGTGTTAAACAGGATAAATGGTGAATGTTTAATTTCATGATAAGTGTGCAATTAATCGTGATTAATCACACAAAAATGTTGTGTATTGACAGCCCTAAACATAAGTTAAACATACGATTCGTCATAAGATTAAAAAAAAACATATGTGGCATGTATACCTTTTCAGAGCCTTCAGGAAGAAGTTAAAGAGAGTGTGGAATAATGCCTCTGTTTGGACACAACAGCCCCAAACGACCGTGTAGACGATGCGACTCACTTGGACTCTATTGGTCCCTGACTTGGATCCCTTATTGAACAACCCACAGTACAAATCCAAAAGACCTGCGCAACAAACAAAACAACAACAGAAAGAGAAAGAGAAAGAGAAAAAGATTAAAATAAACACTGGCAGGGTAAAACAAAGTGATCTTGTGTCAACATAAACTGGGTTATTTTAGGAAAATAACTTGCTGATTGCATATTATTATGCTTATTACATGACCACTTACCAAATAGCCTAAATAAATACATGGACATTAAATAAATGAGTTGAAATTATATTGTCTTATTAACTTAGCAAGCACCCTAGCAATAAGACAAGCACTGGAACAGTCTTAACTGATTATATTAATAGTATTTTTTTTGTCCCTTCTCATACTTAACTTGCAGTATTAGAAAAAGAAGTGATACAACAGGCATGAAAGTAGCACTGATATGTTGCTGTGGATGGACGAATCAATATAGAGTCTAATGGCCATTATACAAAAATATTTGACCGTTTTTGCACAAGATACTTTCAATCCAACACATTTTCTCCAGTTCTCATTATTATAATGAGAAAGCAAACACTATGAAAGTTTAAAATAATTATACATCATGGTAGTATTTGTAAAACCAGCATTGGGAATAATAAGATTGAGTGCAATACAAGGATCACAAATCTGATACAATTCAGTATAAAGAAACTACATATATACAGAGGGAAAATATTCAAATTAGGAAAGTTCACCCAAAAAGAAAATTCTGTCATCATTTACTTATTCTAAATAGGGCTGTCAAAAAAAAAATTTGAATTTCGAATATTCGTAATTCGAATTTAAGGTCTGCGTCAGCCGTCAGGCAGCCTTATCAGTGGCGCACGAGATGCGATGACGATGTATGTGTCATTGATTGCATTTGAATGCTTTTGTTAGCCTATCCAGTTGAACCCACTAGGGTTCCCGCTGCTACGTTGTTCATTCATATATTGCGGAAAACGAGAGCATCAGTGTGGAGATGTTGTTGTTTACGTCAAAACTGAAACCAAGCCGTTCACACAGAATGCATATTTATCACATTTTCTAGAGGGACATCTATCACCGTTGCACTCGCGTCTCGCAGAGAGCGGCCTGTTTAGAAAGCCATGTAAACTTAATGCAAGTTCAACTTTTAAAAAACATGTCTAAAGACGTTATGGCGGTTTTTCCCCATCCCACTGTATCTCATGTTTTTAAATGAA